GCCTGGCAGATTTTATTGGGAAAGTTGATTTTAAAGTTGAAGAATTTAAATCAGAAGTTAATGTTAGGATGAAAGACAATGATTATAAAATTGATGAAGTTGACAATAAAATGCAGAGAATTGAAGATGAGATTGTTATGATACAATTCCGGGCGATGGAATTTGCCATACGGCTTCGGGGAATTCGAGAGGAGGAAAGACAGGACTTGAGACAAGTTTGCTCTGAAGCCCTGGCTAAGATTTTACAAGTTAATCCTGATTTGGTATTTCATAAAATAGATAAAATTTACAGAGTGAACTCTTGGGTGGCCAGGCAAAGACAATTACCCAGAGATGTGGTCATATACTTTACTGAGAGAGAAATTAGAAATGATATCCTGCAAAAATCTTTTCACACTTCTATACAAGTGGGGGGCTCACGGCTTGTAATTTTTAAAGAATTACCTCCTAAAATGCTGAAAGCTAGAAAAGAATTTGGTTTTCTTGTTAAGGAATTGAAAAATTTACAGATACCCTTCCGGTGGGATGCACCAGCTGGGGTAATTTTCAGATATAAGGGAGAAGGATATCGGTTGAATACCGTGGAGAAGGCGCAACACTTTTACAGTACTATTCTTATGGAAAGAACACCATCTCCACGTACATCTACAGTTCTGGAGATTAAGGAGAGTGAAGAGAGGCAATTGAAAGAACAGTCTAAGCAGGAATTAGAAAACGTGCAAGGTGCAGAAGGAGGTATTCTGAGTGAGCCATCGCTGGATTCTTCTCCAATTTTGGATTTGATTCAGTTGACTGAAGTTAAAGATCAACGTATAACTAGAGCTCAATCCAAACTACTTAAACAGAAGCAACAACAACAACAGGAAAGACAAGACAAGAAGGCAGTTAAGAGCACTGCACAAGAGATTGGCGCTATGGGAGGAGCGAGATCGAAGCTCGCGGATGAACTTCAAGCATATTGCTCCGCGCTCCAGAAAGAGGCTAATGACCTTTAAGTGTTTATCTTGGAATGTCAATGGGTTGAATTCAGCACAGAAAAGGAAAAAATTATTTACATATTTGAAACAATTTAATAATGATATAATATGTTTACAAGAAACGCATATTACAACTCAAGATCAAAAATATTTGATAAACTCAAAACTAGGAGCACATTATATATCTTCAACTTCGCAGAAAAAGAATGGTGTGGTTATTTATGTAAATAAAAAATTAACAGCAAAAGTTATAGAAGTAGATCAAGATGGTAGATTTGTAGCAATTGAATTGTTTACAGCAAATGGTCAAATTCTTTTGATTGGAATTTATGCTCCCAACCAACAACAGGATTATTTTTACAAGATGTTACATACTAAAATATTGCAATGGGACTACAGATCTATTTTAATTATGGGAGATTGGAATGGAGTAATTGATTCCAAATTAGATAAAAAGAGCTTGGCAAAGTCTAGAATTAGATTACCACAGACCTTTTTTGATATGAAAGAAGATATGGAACTAAAAGATGTTTGGAGAATACATAACCCAAATGAATTGGATTACACTTTTTTTTCTGATAGACATAGATCTTTTTCTAGGATTGATTTTATCTTGTTGTCAAATGATCTACTTGTTAAGACAAAAAGAACAAAGATTTTTCCAAGAACTTTGACTGATCATAGTCCTGTATGGATAGAAATCGAGATGGATAAGGTTGAGAGACGTTCTTGGAGATTAAATGAGAACTTGTTTAGATATGAAAAAAATATAATAGAACTTAAAAAGCATTTGAAAGAATTTTTTGAAATAAATTTGAATAAAGGTACCCCAGTTGAAATTGTTTGGGATGCAAGTAAAGCTTATATGAGAGGGGTACTTATCTACATGAATTCTAAACATAGACTGTTCCGACAAAAGAAAAGATCTGAGTTGGAAATGGAAATAAAGAATAAAGAACAGTTACTTATTAAAAACCCAACAGATGAAAGAATACGAAGTGCTATAAAACTTTTGAAAGACCAATTCCAAATGCTTATGGCGGAACAAGTTGCAACAAGTTTACAATACGCGAAGCATAATACATTTAGCAATGCTAATAAACCGGGCAGATGGTTGGCTTACACATTGAGGAAAAAACAAAGTATACGGACTATTGATAGTATTGATATTGGAGGGAAAGAAATCTTTCAACAAAAACTAATTAAAGAAGCTTTTGTGGATTATTATACTAAACTATATGCCAAAGAAGAGGTGCAGAATGGACTTATAGAAAAATATTTAAAGGATAAGAGAGTTACAAAAATTACTGATCAACAAAAGGAAAGAATGAATCATCCTATAACAGAGGAGGAGATAACAGCAGCAATTAAACAGCTAAAAACAGCCAAAGCTCCTGGCACGGATGGTTTGACTGCAGTGTATTACAAAACTTTACAAGCTGAAATGGTGGGACAACTTAGAGATTTATTTTGCAATATTCAACAAGGGGGTAAAATACCCCCATCCTGGACAACTGCTTATATATCTTTGATACCAAAAGAACAAGTTGGTCCTAAAAAACCAGAGAACTACAGACCAATATCTCTTTTGAACACAGACTATAAAATTTACGCGAAGGTATTAGCCAACAGGTTGATGCCAGTAATCCAAAAGGTGATTCATGAGGACCAAGCGGGATTTATTGAGGGTAGATACATGAAGGACAATGTAAGGCAAGTAATAGACTTATTGGAATATCTTGATAAGAATAAACAGATTTCTGCAGTGCTGGTCTTTTTGGATGCGGAGAAGGCCTTTGATAGAGTGGATTGGAATTTTCTACTAAAGACTTTAAAAAAGATGGGCTTTGGGGACCAATTTACACAGGCAATTTCAGCAATTTATCAAGAGCAAAAAGCACAGATTATTATTAATGGAAGTTTGACGACAGAGTTTAAAATTGAAAAAGGAACAAGACAGGGATGTCCGTTGTCCCCACTTTTATTTATTTTAACATTGGAAGTCTTGCTAAATACAATACGGGACTCAAAAATTTTGAAAGGCATAATGATAAGGCAAGAGGATTATAGAATAAAGGCATTTGCAGATGATCTGGTGGTTACCCTATCACAACCAATGGAATCAATAATCTTGATGAACGACATTATACAAGACTATGGTAGAGTTTCAGGTTTCAGAGTGAACTCAAAAAAGACTAAAATGATAGTCAAAAATATGACACAAGATCGTAAACATGAGTTTGAAAGGAGGGCAGGTTTTGAAATTGTACCTAAGGTAAAATATCTTGGAGTTCAGGTTGCAGAATCAAACATGAAATTGTTTCAAAATAACTATGAGGTGTTGTGGCGAGAGGTTCAGAAAGACATGGGGACTTGGAAAAAGCTGCAACTGTCTTTACTTGGAAGAATAGCAGCAGTTAAGATGAACATTTTGCCAAGATTTCTGTTTTTGTTTCAAATGATTCCGGTGCTTAAAAGTGATAAACAACTGAAAGTTTGGCAAACTGGACTTAATAAGTTTGTCTGGAACGAGAAAAAGCCGAGAGTGAAATTGAAAATTATGCAAGATGTTCCAGAAAGAGGAGGCCTTAAACTTCCAAACCTACAGTTATATTATGATGCAGCAGCTTTAACTTTAACAAGTGATTGGTTTGGAAGTAAAAAGGCTGGAATATTGAATGCAGAAAGTTTTGATCTTGAATTTGGATGGCATGCTTACCTATTTTATGATGACAAAGTTGATAAAGTATTTAAAAGTCATATACTTAGAGACTCTTTGATGAGAGTTTGGAAGAAGCACCGACTCAAATGGGATTATAAAATACCGCTATGGCTGGATCTTGGTCATACCTTGTGGAATACAAATATAATGTCACTCGGGGGGTTTTTATACAAAGAGGTTCTTTTTACAGATGCGGGCAGATGGCAGTTGAAGACATTGCAGACACTGTTGGACGAAGGGATTAATTTAACCTGGTTACAATATAATCAATTACAATTGAGATGGAAAGAGGACCAAAAAACTGGTATTATGTTGCATGAGGAAGAATTGGTTAGACATATAAGAGAGAAAGGTCCAATGCATATTAAAAGGCTTTACAATGTTTTGCTAGAAAGGGATTCAGAAACGGAATTAGTTAAAGATTGTATGATTAAGTGGGCACAAAATTTTGAAGAACCAGTGATGTTGGAAACATGGGAAAAAATTTGGGTTCAGAATGTTAAATTTACACAGTCGCAGAATTTGAGGGAAAATTTTTATAAAATGTTTTATAGATGGCATCTAGATCCTAAAAAGTTGTCATGTATGTACCCTAATGTTCAGCCAAAATGTTGGAGATGTGAATGTTTGGATGCTACGTATTATCATGTTTGGTGGACCTGTAGGAAAGTTAAGGCTTTTTGGATAAAAATATGGTGGGTCATGCAGAATGTTTTAAAGAAAAAAATTCAATTTTCTCCACAATTGTTTTTATTGGGCATAGTTAAGGGTTTTACACGGGATGAAACAAAATTAATATTGTATATGATAACAGCAGCAAGATTGTTGATAGGTAAATATTGGAAGAATGAAGCTTTGCCTACTATCGAGGAATGGACTTCGAAGATGGCCAGTTTTGCAGAGATGGCGAAGATTTCAGCATATTTAAAAGATTGTTCACAAGAGACTTATGAATGGGAATGGAAAAGGTGGATAGAATATGTTCAGAACAAATACCAAATTAGAAAGTATCAAATAGCTTTTATTTGAAAACAATGTATTAGAAATATTTTAATATAAAGAGACAAAGAGGGAAAATTATGTAGGGGGAGGGATGGGTTCAGGTATATATATCAGTGTTATTAGTTATGAGTACATAATAGGGAAGTCTGGGGGGGGGAGGGTTAGGGAGGGTTAGGGAGGACGGGAAGTTTGGGGAGGGAGGTGGGGGGGTGAAAAAAAGGGGTGAAAATGTAATTGTAAAACTTTTGCAATAAAAAAAAAAAAAAAAGAAGTCACAGTATCTTTTTTTTTTTTAACAGTATTCTGCTGAGCTGTTGGCAGTGGTCCGTCTGCCCTTCATCCATCCCAGTTATCTGCTAAACGTTGTTGACAATGAGGAATTGATAAAATCTTCAGAGGCCTGTCGGGATCTGGTGAACGAAGCAAAACGTTATCACATGTTGCCACATGCCAGGCAAGAGATGCAAACTCCAAGAACCCGGCCCAGGTTATCAGCAGGTAATGGTGGAGCCTTGAATATATCGTATTTCTGAGATGTCTAATGGTATTTGCAGGCTGCAAGTAAGGAACCAAGATTAAAAGGCTTCCTCTCACTTTTCCTGTAAAGCGTCCAAGATACAATCTGATATCAAACTGGGCAATTGGGCATTGCAAACTGGGCAATTGAGCATCCTGCAGTCCTTCAGGTTTTTCCCACTGATTCTCCTTGTGGCAAAAGTTATTGAGAGCGTGGGACCGGAGAGAGAGCATTCATCATCCCAGACCAGGTGCTAATTCTCTAGCAGATGGTTTTCTGTCATGGTTTGGCCATATTTATTTAACAGCTTAGCACAGACAGGAGATAGAATTCTGAGCATGTAGGTAGTTTATATTTCTTTAATCCAACCTGACTTTTTTCCCCAAACACCTTTAAAATTACAGACATCCTTGAATATGTTAGTTGCCTTCCAGAAAATAGTATAATCTTTTCTTTTCTTTTTTTTTTTTTTTTTGCCATTTAATGATGACAATAATATTTTTTAAAAATTTTTGACAATAACATATCTAAATCTATGCATGACCCTGAGGTATCACAGCCACACACACCTTTTGTATCATTTATGAAATGCCTGGCTAGCTGCAAGCAGATTTATTAAGCAGAAAAGCCATTAAACATAATGTGACTTCTGGATAAGTCTACAGAGGATCTCACTCGCCCCTTGGAAACGAGGACTCATTTTCATAAAATAAGGGGCAGACTACTGAAGGAGAGAAGCTATTTCTGCCTTGGTAAAAGTGAAGACTCCCCAAAAAAAGAAAATGTACATTGCAATCCATGAAAGGAGAGGGCTCCTCCACCCATAGTCCTCACATTGTGAGACAGAAGGGATTACAGTGGCCTCTCTCCTGCCCCGTTGTAAACCTATAACTTTGACAGTTCTTTTTTTAAACCTATAGCCTTGACAGTTCTTCTGACCAGTTCAGTTTATCTTTTCCTCTTACTTTATCAACTCCTTCCCTTTCCAGTCCAGCAAACCTGTTCTTTCACTCTCTTTCCTGATGATTTTCTTCCTTTTTTTGCTACAGTAGTGGCCAAAATTGTGGAAACCTTTTGGGAAAAGTGTATTTTCAAAAATTAGCTAATAACACCACTCTCTTTTTGGAGTAGTGCCATAAAATTATATATCAATGGAAAGATAATTTAATCAAGAATGTAATGCAATAACTTTTATGAAGGATTTGCTATTAGAATAGCAGTTACAGCATAAAGAAAAAAAGTGAAACACGTAGAAAAAACAAGATATACAAAAACTATCACTTCAGTTAATACTTACAGTAGTTGGGTAACCTTTAGCATGAATTACAGCCTTACAACGTCTTCCCATGGAGTCAACCAAGTCTTTTAGTTCTGCAGCTGTTACAATGTGAAACTAAGATTGAATGATTGCTTCTATTAACTGGGTTTTATTGCTGGGTCACTTCTCACTAACAAGTTTCTTTAGTTGGCTCTATAAATTTTCAATTGGGTTAAGGTCTGGGCTATTCCCAGGCCATTCCAGCAGTGGAATATGATTATCTTGAAACTCCAAAAAAAGGGGGGGGGGGTGTTATTAGCCATCAAACCTCAAAAATATACTTTTCCCAAAAGGTTTCCACAATTTTGGCCACTACTGTATTTGCATTGAAGAGAGAGAAAGGAGTACAGGTAGCCCTCAACTTACCACCACAATTGAGACCAAAATTTCTGTTGCTAAATAAGACATTTATTGAGTGAGCTTTGCCCTATTTCACAACTTTTCTTATCATAGTTGTTAACTGCAGTTGGTAAGGGAATCATTCGATCATTAAGCAAATCTGACTTCCCCCATTGACCTTACTTGTCAGAAGCCAGCTTGAAAGGTCACACGTGGTGATCACATGACTCTGGGACAGTACGACTGCCATAAATATATGTCAGTTGCCACGTGTCTGAATTTTGATCACATGACCATGGGGATGCTGCAATGGTCATAAGTGTGAAAACCGTTCATGTCACTTTTTTCAGTACCGTTCCAACTGCAAAGTCACTAAACGGATGGTTAGAAATCAAGGACTACCTGTATTTGTAAGGGTTTTTAAGCAAAAATTGTTTGGCATGGATGTATAGTTGGAGGATCTATACATTTTTAAAATGGGATGCCATTTTATAGATAATTACTTCGTCTTCAATTTTGAGCAATGTCCTTTTTTGTCCTGAATGTAATAGTTTATGTAAATTGACCTCTTCGGACTGTGGAAAGTCATAACTAAAGTGCCTCTGTTTGGTAAACAACTTAAGTCTTATATTTTATTTGACATTCTTGGTTATAATGATACTTTAAAAAACATAATATGAGAGTGTTTTTTTAAAAATAAATTTCCTTTTATATTCTTGTATATACATGAGCACATATGAAAAGAAAGATGAGCAATATTGTAAATGAGTAACTAAATCAGTGAACAGATTAAATTCCCAGATTTTATTTATTATCTAGGAAATATAAAGAGATCCTGATCGGCTTTTATTATAGTAATGTTAAAAACATTTGAACAAACCCATTCTGTTGAAAGATAGCATGACATCTCAGGTAAAATTTAGGCATATTTACATGTGGAGGGCATTCTAATTGCCTTTCAAAGGTGCTTCAAGACAGAAAGAAAATTCAAAAAGCCGAAAAGTTATTAGTATATAAAACTGTATGTCAGGCTACATTTCTTGCAGAAATGTTATCTGATTAGAGAATTTATCAGAAAGATGAAATACTTTCAGGAACAGTCCTTCTCTTACTCTTGTAAATTGGAGGTGACCAACAAATCATCAAAATATCTGATAATTTTACAATTTCTGGAAAGTATCTGTTTACAAAAAAAATTGTAGGGGGTAATACAAACTATTTTCAGAAAATTATTAATTAAGAAAAAGTAATTTCCCAAGAATAAGAAGAGTGATTATTTCTGTAAGTCAAAGTCCAATTAGTGTAACTATTCATTAAGAGTTTTTCAATCCTTTGTGAAAATCACAATATCTACAATATCCTCTTGAGACTATTTATTATAATCACATTAGTTCTAAACAGGTGATGAGTTTTCTTGCCATTGTTCTGGAAACAATCATCTTAGTGCCAGCTGAATTTACGCCCAAGTTCTGTCACTTGTTGATACTATCTCTGTATATCTGTATAGCAATAAATAGTTCATTCCAAAGCAGAGAATTATTATTAGATTTTTATTCTGTCCCTCCCCCCCAACTTTTTTTTTTTTTTTGAGAGAGAGAGAGAAAGAGAGGGTCAATTCAAGATGGCAACACATGTAATACTTCCGTTTCATATTTCTCCACAGCAACAGCCTTGTGAGGGTTGCTGGACTGAGAGAGAGTGACTGGCCTAAAGTCACCTAGCTAGCTTTCATGCCTAAACTAGAACTCCCCAATATCCTTATTTCTAGGACAGTACCTTAAACCAAACCGACTCTCATGGTAGCTAAACATTTGAAAATGTTCCTATTCTCTTTTATGTTATCATGAGACAACTAAAAATGTACAGTAGTTGTGTTTATTTTCCTCTCCCTCTCTCCGAGGGGAAAAGAAACACTTAAGTTAAAATTTCCAAAGCAAACATAAGGAAGGAAACATAAACACCCTATCTGATGTCATGCTGGCAATGCTCAATAGATTATTTTAGAATACACATCCATCATTTAAAGAAAACTCCAGTTTTTGAAAAATATTTTTGAGTTCTTCAAATAAGTTCCTTGCACAAAGATCTTTTAAGGAATAATTATTCAAATCCATATTAGCAGGTGAAGTGTAATGTTTCCCCCTGGATTAATATTAATTCATTTGAGTCGAAGGGCTTGACCTCCTTTGATATTGGATCAATATTAATGTTGTTTTGAAAATAAGGATAAACATAAAAATTAGCAGGAAAGGTATATTGAAAAAGAAGTGTCTTTTCACTCGATAGAAACATACTCCAAATTTAGTCTACATATATTATCTTGCCAGAACTTGAAAAAAAGGCCATGCATTGTGTGCTATTTAAGCAGCAAGAGGAATATTTTAGGCCATGTACAAATTCTGCTTATCCTGTTCAGAGTGCACTAAGCATGTAATCAAATCTAATGAAACAGCAGAAAAGAATTAAGCTTATGCAAAGAATAACAAGGTAAAGGAAATTGGAGATTATGATCCTTCAGAGATTATGATCTGATAATATATATTTACCATTCTAGGTGTAGCAGAAGTCATAGTCCTAGTAGGAGGCCGTCAGATGATTGGAATGAATCAACGGGCTTTGACAGCAGTGACATGCTTCAATCCTCAGAACAACAAATGGTACCCACTGGCCACCCTGCCCTTCTATGATCGGGAGTTTTTTAGTGTGGTGAGCGCTGGAGACAATGTCTACCTCTCAGGTGAGCAACAAATACGATGGATTCTTTGCAAACTTATATGGCAAACTAATCAGAATGGATGGATGATTGTTTGGCTGGGAAGAAGAGAGTTCCTTCGAGCATTTTCCATTTCATTTCAGCTCAGATTTTCTCCCTAGGACATTTTCCCCGTGTAATGTGCAAAAAGATACATTCGGGATCTTGATTAAACTGTGAAGAGCTTTTCCTTGCAATTGTGACACAGTATGAAGCATCTGGATCTGAATCAAAATGATCATGTTTCTGTATCTGAAGCCGGTTTGTTCAAGTCGTTGATCTGTATGACCATGTTTACTTAAAAGACATGTAATCCCTGCTCATTTTTTTAAAAAAATCTGTCCTTGAAACCTCTTCCTACTTTTAGTGAAAGGGAACAAACTCTTCTCTCGCATGTGTAACTGGAGGAACAGAAATGCTACAACATTACTGACATGTAAATTCACAATATCACATAATGATTTAGGTAAATACACATAGTACAATTTTTAAAATGCCACCGTAGCTACTTCATTATTCATAGTGGCGCAGTGGTTAGAGTGCAGTACTGCAGGCTACTTCTGCTGGCTGCCTGCAATTTGGCAATTCAAATCTCACCAGGCTCAAGATTGACTCAGTGTTCCATCCTTCCAAGGTGGGTAACACGAGGACCCAGATTGTTGGGGGCAATAGGCTGACTCTGTAAACCGCTTAGAGTTTAAAAGCACTGGAAAGTGGTATATAAGTATAAGTGCTATTGCTATTGCTATAACCACAACATACTATAGCCAACATTTCACTTGTGGAAGGAAATTTACATAGTCAACCTTGGGGACTGCATGGAATTAGGAAGGAAGTACAAGGTATGAGAGATTGCAGGTGGAGAAAAGGTGAGAGAAGAATCAATTGCAAAAGCTGTTTGTCACATGCCACTGGGAGTATCTTGATACTTTTTTTCATTATTACTATTTTCGTGATACCCATAGAGTATAATGTGTAGTGACTCTTCAAAATCCTTAATTACTGTATTACGTTCTGCATCCATGGACGGAACAGAGATTCTGAGAACAGCCCCCCTGGTTGTAGCATCCATTGCCTAGGCCATGTGTTAGGGATAATTTCTAATCTGAAAACGTTGAGTAAAATGCTTAGTTGCTTCATACAACTGAATAGCCTGTAGGATATTTATGAATGCTGCCTAATTATGCTCACATATGCAAATGTCCTGCCTAGCCTGACATCATGACAGCCTTTTTTAAAAAATAAACCGTTGGGATGCATAAATAAGTGACAGCAATCTGCATCATCGGAACAGATGCTTGCAATCGACGATGATTTATTTTAATTAGTCATGTGTCATTTGGAAGATCTTGTATTGCAGTTGACTTGCCTTGCAATATATATCAAGTCACTGTGGGGTTTTTTCCCCCTTCTCCTTACTGAGGACAGGTGGTATGGAAGCTGGAGTCACGCTAGCTGATGTCTGGTGCTACATGTCGCTCCTTGATAACTGGAATCTCGTTTCCCGAATGACAGTCCCACGATGTCGACACAACAGTTTGGTTTATGATGGCAAAATATATACCATAGGAGGCCTTGGTGTAGCGGGCAATGTCGATCATGTGGAGAGGTAAATTTATTTTGTGTACAGAAAATAGTTCTGAAACTACTCAGAGATTTGATGATGAAAATAACATTTTTTTAGATTATTTAGTAGATTGGATTTCTTAAAAATCAGATAAAGTTGGGTTTGAGTTTTGTTCTATTTTTGTTATTTTAGTTCCTCCTGAACCAGATCTTAGTAAAAGTGTGACTGAGAATAAGGAGTCTCGGTAAGTAACAAAGGAGCTTAGATGTACCAGATCTCTGTTTACTTTCCCATTAGAGTTATCCTGCTTTACTATTATTCTAGGAAACCCAACAAATCAGTTTAATAGACATGCAGGGCAAGAATAATATCCCTAAAACCAGCAGGGAGGTTAGCACTTTTTTTATTCCTGTGGCTTTAGCTTTTATAAATTTAGAGAAACATGCTTCTGCGACTGATTATATTAAAGGGAACTGCTTCCAGAGATCTGTGCCCAAACAGACCCACCTCAGTACCAACTCAGTGGCCCACCAACCAACACATAAAGGTGTCCCGAAATTGGCCAACTCAGCACATCTGAGGCATTTCTGAAGTATCTCCATTCCTAGTGGAGGTTAACTGTTTTGGGACTGTATCATGTGGGCATGTGTTGTGATCCTGTTGTTTCTGCCTTGCTGCACAGCATATTGAAGTGATCACAAAGACCATTCTTCATGGTTCTTTCCCAATAATATTTTATTCTGGTAACTAATCTTTGTGTACAAGGCCACAACCCTGTATTGTTTCTCAAACTGCTTGGAGAGAGATGTATTATCCAAATGCCCTTTCAGCCTAAATCTTGATTCAACAAATGAATTAGTTTTTTTTTTTAACTATGAAAAACTAATAGTTTAAAAAAAAACCCTAATTCATTTGTAGAATTAGCAAAATTCTATCAGCTTTTCCAATAGTTAGGGGAGAGACCCATCCTACGTCTGTGTTGTAAATTTTGAGGACAGTGATTTGTATGGATTACGGAGTAAGAAATTTAGTTTTTTCATGAAACGTCAACTGAATCTCTTAAGACCCAAAGCAACTGTTCATATCTTTTATACAAAACAATGGGGAACCTAAGTTACTTAAGTTTCTGTGGATCCTTATCAATACTAAAAGAATTTGTTGTCCAAATTGTTTCTCAATGTACAGTTTCATCAAAGTGCAGCATTGTTCATGAGGTTGCTAAACTGGCATGATGATTTTGTCTCATTCTAAAACCATTATCAGGAGCTGGAAGGAGTAAAGGTAGACTGTGCCCACAGTACTTTTTGTAGCTACCTATAGCCAGATTAAAATGGTTACTTGTATTTCTCTTATTATGAGATTAATGTTTATAATAATTGGCACTTTATTCTCTTCTTCGTTTCTCTCACTAAATCTATTCCTTTTGATTCTACTATGCCATCTACTGGTTTTTAAGCCCTTGAATTTTCTGCTGGCATACAGAAAACAAAACCTTGGCACCTCCTGTTACTCATTTTTTTTAGAACAAGCTATGTTTTCCAATCTCTGGATTATTATTTTTTTGATTTTTTTTTTACTATTTCTATAAAGAGTGTTACAAATACTATATTTCAGATTCTAGGCAAATAACTAAAGCATTCATCTGTTTTGTAAAGTGTCTTCCCAGAAGTTTTCATTTTTGAACTTGAATGATTGTTTTAGCTATTTCCATTTTAAAAACTCTTATTTCGCATAGAGCATAAATCTCACAGAAGAAGATACTTGAGTCCCACAAAGATCTGTGGACATTCACTCACTGATTCATAGGTACATGGGAATCGAGTATATACACAATGTCATCAAAATAAATTTTACAATAAAACCTACTCAAATATACATTTCCTCCAGCAAAATTAGTTCAGTCAGAGTGATAACTAGCACTAGACAGAGACAGAGACAGAGACAGAGACAGACAGACAGACAGACAGACAGACAGACAGACAGACAGACAGACCTGTAGAACAGCCTTCTACAATCAGAATGTGTGGATTTTTAACTCCCTGAGTTTTCAATTCAAATCCAAACTTACACTGGGCACTTTGTGTTGGGGAAGCTGCTGTAAACTATTCAAAGCTGTTATGCATCAGCCATATTTGGACATCACAGTAAGCCAAAATTTCATTAGATACTTCTAGTCTACTCGTAAATCAGCATGATGGCTACTTATCAGGTTTTCTTGCTAACCCATACAGTTTGTTCTCTGGCTTGTACAGCATTGGTATGAAGATCATAGCTTATGAATGTCATGCTGAGAAAGGTCAAAGATATCAGTAGACTCACAGCCCTATATGAAGCTGAGGAGGACATTTTTGGTGACCAATAAGCCAGAATTCTTTAAAATTAAGATGTACTATAATATCTAAAAGAAGACCTCATTTTGTTGCCAACAATCTACTGAATTTATTGCCAGAACTGCAATTTGAACTAGTCATTTTATACAAGGAATGGTAATAGTTAGATTTCAGACTAACAGTAGGTTTAGGGTTAAATTTTCGTTAGCTAAGTTTAACTCAGTTATTCAAAGAAAGATGGGATATAAATATAATAAATAATATTGGTAATTATAATTTGTAGCTATTCTCTTAGCTGCCAAGGTACATCATCAGCTCTCATTGATGAAGATACTTCTTGCCTGATTTAATATACAAATATTTCAGTATCAAACAATATGCAGATATTAGTTCAGTGAAAATTACCTGCATGTGCTTATCCATCATGAAAATAAGGTTTTTCCAAATTTTCATCATATAATTTCTCCAACCCTGCTTCTCCGCTGTAGAGGCAGGAACATTATTCTAATGGAGTTGTGTTTTTTTTTTTTTAATGCTCTGCAATAGTTTTTTGTATTGCTTTTCTATAAATTCCCTTCTGAGAAATAAGAATATGCATTGAAGCTGGGCCATCTATTCTATCACATTCCTTTTCAAATGGATTTTTTCCCTTTGCTATATGCAATGAGACAAAAGAATTTTAAAGAGATCCATGATGTTCATATGCTTGTAAGATTCAAGTAGATAGCAGTTTGGAATCCATAATGTGACTACAGAAAAAAAAAATGCCTGCAGCTTTGGCCAGTCATATTTCAGCTGGAAGAAGAAAAGGCGATATACAGGAAGGACATATTTATGGGAGGCATAGAAAACAGACTTTTATAATACAGTACAATGTTGTTTTTCCGTAACTATTTTTCTGCAAAGTATCCTCTGAATAATGTATAAGATAGTGAAGGTATGGTACATAAATTTCAAGTAATGATGGTACAGAAGCTTTATAAGAGAAATAAATTAAAGCATTCATTGATAAAGTTGCTAACCAAGACAGAAAAGAATTAAGAGGACAATGCTTATGTGTATTCAGACATAATTCAGAAAAAGAATAATTTACAGTATAATCTAAAGAGCTTTTTCCATTCAATATAAGTACAGAGTAACAAATATTAAAATCTGTAACAACTGAAAACATGGAATGAGAAAAACATGACATAGCTGAAATTGGGGAAATATGTCCAACTTGTCATAACTATTATTTATTTTTATTTTTACATGTTTTACAGACTTCAATGCTTTGTAAGTTTAAATAATAATTGTCGTTTCACAGTATATTCTGGATATATCATACCATATTATAGCATAGCATATATACATACATACATACATACATACATACATACATACATACATACATATATTATCTATCTATTTATCCTTTAATTTTGTTTTTCTGCCCAAGAGCATTAAAACCTAGTGTCCAAACAATGAGAGCAATAATACAAGTCATATGATAGCTCTTTCCCATGATAACATTGGAATTGACTTGCTGTTCAACTCCTCTATGGGAGTTGAAGTTGTGAATCCTGTCACATTAGCAGCTGGTGTATCATTATGTGAAGTCATGGAAGAAAGTTCCTCCATCCCCCAAAAATATCAGATTTAAGTTCTGGCACTTGATTCCAAGTGCTCAGGTTATTCATTTCCTCTCTCCTGGAATAGTAGTTAACCTTTTGATCTGCAACTGCTATTTTTGTGTCCAGACTCTGAAAGAATCACTTGGACAAAACAAAGAAAGTGGAGGTCAGGAACACGTTGGCCTAGAAAGGAATTATTTCTGGCAGCTTAATGTCCATTTAAAACTTAATCCTCTGCTTTGGAGAAGGATCAATAAACAAGTAATATGAATCTGCTTCCAGAAAAGCCTCCAAAGTAATGGAATCAGAATAGTAGCAAACATAAAAATTAAAATGTAGTTTGAAGCATGACTAATGGACGCAACATGGTTACAACAAGGTGAACTGTGCCTATTATACCAGTGTGCCATCTTATTAGTATTACCATATTTTTGGATATAAAATGCACCAGACTATAAGACGCACCTATATTTACAGGAGGAAAACAAGAAAAAAATAGGTTTTGGCCTCCGCGCGTCAGATTTTTGCCCTCCCAGGCCCCCAGAAGCACTCTGTAGTGCTCCACATGGCCCATTTTTGCCAAAATTGGCCTTTTTCACCAAAAGGACCCATGTTTGGGCTCCCAAGCCCTCTGTGCGTTGCGTTTTACCCTCCCAGGCCCCCAGAAGCACTGCAGTGCTCCACACAGCCCATTTTTGGCCTGCAGAGTGCTTCTGGGGGCCAGGAAGGATGAAAACATGACATGCAGAAGGCTTGGGAGCCCAAAAACGCCCGTATTTGGTCTATAAGATGCACCTAAATTTCACCCACTTTGGGAGGCGGGGGGGAAGGTGCGTCTTATACTCCGAAAGATACAGTATTTACTGGGAGAAATTTAAAAGAAAATTCTTCTTATTCCTGAAGGCATCACTTAGGGGGGAAAGTGCATCTTTCTTTATGTAGAAGATTTAGTTCCAGTTAGCCGTACCCTCTGAACAAGCTCTTTCTGATTGAGAGTTATACAGTAGACCATCATTTAGCAATTGATTTTTCCCCCATCTCGCACTGTAGCATAGCAGGAGATCTTCAGCAAAACTTTTAAGGAAGTTCTATCCTCTTTGATGTACAAGTATCCTGCTTTTGTCACAGCAGTTGAATGAAATTGCTGAGTAAACAGAAAAAGTATTAGACAGTATATATGTCTAAAACAAGCAGAATTTATAAAGAAGCAAGCAGAATTAATCTATTTACAGATTTTTTGCGAAGCAAAGGTAGCATACATGGAAAATGTATTGTGTTCCATAACATAGTTTCTGTTCTGATTTGAAAAATACAAAGCTCGCTATCTCAAATATATAATGGTAGAATGTCGGGACCCTCCAGAGCTATATCCAATAGTTTTTTTTTTTTAAATAATCTCTTTCACTCTGACAGAATAAGGGTAGGAGACTGACAGGAAAATGTAATTCTCCTTCCACCAAAGGAAACACAGATTTGTATTTGGGGACAGAGCAAACATCTCAGAACATTTTGGCCATCTTCTTATCTTGTATAATCTGGCCTATGTGTAGGCATAAATTGGCATGTGTGTGATTGAAATATCCAAATGTAAATCCCAAAGCCATGTTTTTGGAAATAAACATTGTAAAATGAAATCTACCCTAGGAATATGCGAGTTAAACATTTTGCTTTTTTCACTTCAACTTTTTTTTCCCTACAAAGTACTTATTAGAATATTGAAAGTATCTTTTACATTGCTGCAAAAGATAGCCATTCGTATTATCCACAGCTTTTGAAATTAAGATCATGTGTGTGTTTTGACAACAGATTAAGTTTACTTTGCCTTTAATTTTTCCTCAGTTCCTTTCTTGTATTTTGTTGATAAAATATTTTGCCCCTCAACCTATTCCTGCAGTTTTTAACTTGTATTTTATTGACAAAATATTATTGGTCCCTCAACCTACTCCTGCAGTTTTTAACTAGTAGATTCGGAGACATCACTAAAAGGTCATTAGCAATATGAATGTACATTTCACAAAAGAAAAAAATGAGTGAAGAATCATGAATTCCAATAATGTTCATGTTTATTAACTGCAAAGTTGCCAGTAGCATTAGGCTCTGGGTGTGTATGTGTGTTGAGAGCCAGAAAAAAATAATAATGCTTATACAGTAGTTTGTGTCTCCCACTATTAGATTCAAAAATTTAATACTGAACTGGCTATGCTGCATTCCATGGCAGTGTATAGCAACGATCTCTTTTTTTTTTTCTATCTGCCAGTTTATTTTGATTGCTACCATTTTAGCTTTAAAAATAGGTGTCTGAACTGGTGATACTGTTGAAAATGAATCTTCATCTATGGTTTATTAACTGTACATCTTTATGGTCAGTAGCTTGATTAAATTTTACACCAATGACCTTAGAACTAATTTAGCACTCTGATGCATATACTTAATCTGCTATGAGATAAGGGAAGAAGGCTGGCATGGTAACATCCTAGATTTTCAGCCTGTTACGATAAAATGGGGCAGCTTTGTTTACACAGTGAACATTAAACCGAGACAACTTCCATGTCCCCAAAATATTTAATAAATTTAATATTTAATAACGGAGGCCAAGAGCTAGCATACTATGTTCTGTCTGAAAAGCAGATGATCTTCAAGTTAAACAATTGAAGTGTGGCATTTGCTTTCCTCTAGTTGCTGTTAGATATCACTGCACTGATTTGCAAGGATTATCTCTTCTGTTCTAATTAACTGAAGTTAATTAATAGGAGGCATCTTGACAAAGGAATCCTGGATTATTTTAGTCAAAGATATAATTAGATTTGAGAGGCATATGTAGAGAATAACTTTCGTTTTCTCTTCTGCTCATTCACTAGCTGACGCTATCACTGCCTGCCTTAAAATGGTAGAAGGGCTTCTTGATAAGAACAGAAGAAGCTTTTGAAGAGAAAGGAATTTATATGAGATGGAAATGAATATGGGCCTGCCTGTCTCATAGCCTGGATCCATTGGATGAGTGGCTGTTGTTTGGGTCTGCCTAGTGAATTTAACCCTTTTTAATACATCTAAACAGAGTTTATCTCTCTTTATTTAACTTCTTTTCTTTCCAATGGCAAAGGATTCCAGGATTTTATTTTATTTTATTTTTTAGTTTCTGCTAGAAAGAGGGAAAGGATTGCTATTATATGTGAGAGAATTGTGCATCAGGAAGAAAATTATTGGTATATGCAATTGGGAATAATTAATTTTACAAAATGGTTACTTTATTTATAGGCAATTTGTACTTCTTAATTCAGTTGTGAGTTGTTATATCCTTTTATATGTTTATTTATTGGTATGAAGTGCGGACATTTATTTTTGGATTGGGAGAATCTAATCTCAAGAATTAGATTCAGCTGACATTAAAAATGTTAAGTTGAAGAATCAGATAGTTGGGCAACATAGAAGAATTCTATCTATCTATCTATCTATCTATCTATCTTTATTACAGCTACATATATTTCCCTTTTTTGTTCAGATGTTCTTTCAGAGTCAGCTTTGTTTTGGAAAAATACAATAATTGTCAACTGGATGCATTATTAATGAGACTAGAAAATATATTTATGAAGTTGTTTTCTTGACAGGTGAAGATTCATCTCTTTAGCATCTAGGTTTATTCATCTGTCTTCGTTCTAGGTATGACACCATCACCAATCAGTGGGAGACAGTTGCTCCTTTGCCAAAGGCGGTGCATTCTGCAGCTGCAACTGTTTGTGGTGGAAAGATCTATGTTTTTGGAGGTGTGAATGAAGCTGGCCGAGCTGCTGGAGTCCTGCAGTCATATATTCCACAGACTAATGCATGGAGTTTTATAGAGTCACCAATGATAGGTAAAAGTAACATGCTTCCAGTTTTAACTTGAAGATGGGGAAGGAGTAATGCGTATGCTGTTGATTTATTGACAATGAATTCAAATTTTAATGTATTTACAGAAAATAATTAAGAAAGTATAATTTTCTACGTTTATGAATCTTCTCATTAGTTAGGCTAATGGAGCTGGTTAGCATGCTGAAAGCCCTCACTCCACCTTTTAATTAATTTTAAATATTGCTTGTCTCTTTTAATTTTAAATTTTATATACTGTTCTTATGCTTTTAATATTTTATTTGTACATCATAAACCCTCTTTGCATGGGAGATGGGGTTTACTAAATATAGATGGAGGGAGGGAGGGAGAAAGAAAGAAAGAAAGAAAGAAAGAAAGAAAGAAAGAAAGAAAGAAAGAAAGAAAGAAAGAAATTGAAGATATGAATGCAAAGAAAGTCAAGGGAATGTGTGCTATATATTATTATGGTATTATGCTTATCTTTTAAAATTGGAGTGTTTTAGTGAAAAGGCAGAACAAAGAGACAATGGATGCCATTAGCCTATGATTCCTACATCAGAAATCTTGATGGGCCAGTTTAGATGTAGTTTTACCACATTGTCCTAGCTTTACAGTAATCCAAACAAGAGCTCACATGTTTTTCCTCTCACCATAAATGTAAGATGGTACAGAAATATAGAGATCCTTATTTGAGCACATATGTTTTCATACTTTGGTTTGTTAGTACTAACTATACTATACTATACTATACTATACTATACTATACTATACTATACTAATTGTACTGTACTGTACCATATTTGTGTATAGTATATACACTATGCATTATAATTGTGATTTTCATATAGTATAATTGTGATTTTTCTATGCTTGACGGTTTCAATGTGGACATTTTATGTTGTGCTCTCCACCCTCAAATCAGAAGTATTCTTTCTTATCATGAAGAAGTGTCCTCTGACTTCTAGACTACAATAAACATATTGTTAAATTTCCCTTGGCCATTGTAGAAGAAGCAATTCAGGACTTGCTTGTAGCATTGATTTATGGGTGTAACATTGCCGCTGTTCCTTCGCTGCTGTTAGTGTTCAACTAAACATGACATGACATGCATATGATGTGCCATGAAATACCCAGCAGGAAGACATTAACCACTGGTAATCAAGTTGGTGCATTAGAGCAGGGCAAGCCATCTCATTCCCTAACTCTTTCTGTTCCTAGAATCTGCTGAAAGATGTTATGAAGTTTTCCTGTACTCTTTAACAAAATGGCGAAACTTAATACATTATGCAAAGAAAACCCCACCCCTGCTCTCTAAAACAATTGCAAAAGCAATTAATACCCTAGACCACGGGTGTCAATCTCATGGCGTCATGTTGCTGTCACGTGACGTTTCATGATTTTTTTTCCATTCGCTGAGCTGGGGTGGGCGTGGCCTGCGCGTGACACATTTGACCCGTAGGCCACCAGTTTAACACCCCTGCCCTACATCTATTACAGTGCCAACCCATGCAGTCTAGAAAAAAAAAAAGACACACTCGTACTATGTGCATTTGCAAATATTGCCCTAAGAAAAGTATCAAAACTGTTAAGAAAGGACTTGTATACTTCCTCAAATAAAAGTAGCTAATTGTCAAATGTCTACATAATCATCAAGGAGAAATATTAATTGAAGCTGTTGTTATTTTTATTTGGTCTAAAAATAGAATGCTTAAGTGACAGTTTTTAAAGAAATGGAATGCATAGATTTCATTATGATGTTAAAAAAAATTGAGCAGATACTTGTACAGATAATTGAGCAGATACTTGTACAGGTAAGACAAATTCCCTTACTCTACATTTGGTACCATTTTCAGTTGAGTCTAAAACCATGACAGTATTTGAGGGAGAATAATATATAATAAATAAAAGGAAAATCTTTTGAAATGAGGGGTTCACTCACAAATTTTCCATAGTGCTTTCAAATGTGCTTTAGAGATTATCCATCTGCCTTGCTACCTCTTTCCTAAAGTTATTGTGCATGAAAAACATTTTACATTCTTTTATCATTTGAAATACATACAGGTTTATTTGGTTTTTGGTTTTTGCATCTTCAAGAGTTTATATTGTTAATAGGCTTCAGTTTCCCCTTTTTGTTTTAGCGATTCCTATTCTGCAGCTGAAACAGATAGTAAAGTAAACCTGGTTGTCTGCTCTGTTTTGGTCTTGAGATTTCTTCTGGATCATTGTCCTAATGTAATATGAGGTCAGCCCAAGTTGACTTCACTAAATGGCAATCTGGTAATAAGACAACTGGAGTGTTCTTTCTTAGTTTATTTTTAGAATCCTTTTGACAATGCAGCCAGTTACTGTTGCTAAAACACAAGCGAGAACTCCATTATTCAAAGTAGTTCTTATATCCTATTAAGCTTTAGATTTTTATTTGAGAGCAAGAAGGAAGCAATGTTTAAGTCTTATCTCAATGACAGTCCATAGAATATCAAGAGGAATCCCTTTTTCCCCCTGCAAACTGTTCTTTCTAAGAGCTGATCAAGTCTTTTAAAGATTTTAAGAAAACAATAAGTTTGTGAAATCATAGTTCAGATAATTATTGATTAGTATGCATTACTTTGTGTTTGGAAGGGCTAAAATATTTCACAAATGCAAAGTTGAAGTGCATCTTTCTGGTTGCTACTCATGGTAGTATAATAATGATGAGAAATTTTGGGACTAACTTAGACCGATGCATGGGATAGGAAAGCTTTTTTACTATACAGATAGTCCTTGTTTAGCAACTGCCTGATTTAGTGTTTGCAGTTAAACAATGATGAAAAAGTAATTTTATTACCCAAACAATCAGTCAGATGGCCCAATCATAGCAGCATCCACAGGTCTGGTGACATCACTCCTCCTTCCTCCGACCAGGAGTGAGAATGTCCTCAGTTCCCAAGGGAAAGTATTTTATTTTGACTACACAGCTCCAGCTATCTCTAATCCCCCCTCCCTATCCCTTGCTCCAGTGTGGCAATACTGAAGTTCCAAGATGGCTTCGACCAGGTCAGCTTCAGGGTTGACAAACTGCTTCATTTAACAACCAAATTACTGGTCCTAACTGTGGTCACTGAACAAGGGCTACCTGTACTGAACTGGTCTATATCATACAGGCCAGCAAATGAATCAGTAGTAAGCCACTATTGTCGCTTAGTTGTTGCTTGAAGAAAATGTGTACTTAATTCTCTTTAGCAGTCTAATGAATAATCAGTCTCCTGTGGAATAGATTCTCTTGTGAAGTGATATGTTCCCCTTGAGAGCTCTTTAAACAAAACTTGAAATGCTTTAACAATCTTGCACCAAGATTGAACCCGATGACCTCTTAGACCACTTTCAACTCTATGATTCTTGAACGCAATTCCTGAAGCATAGATCCATTGAACCAGCAGAGAACTTAAACATCTATATATGAAACATCACAGATACAGATAAAGTTATTATTTAGAATGAATTACAGGAACATAAGTGTGATTGCGCATCTGTGTAAGAATAAATAGTGTGAGGTATTAACATGATGAAGGTCATAACCTATTTTGGCAGAAAGATTAGCCATATTAAGTAGTCGTATGTATTTCAAAATATTTTACCTGTCTTTTACATATATTTGTAGTGCACCATACATATAAAACAAATATATCACTGTAAGACAAAATGCAAATAATTAGAATTGCAAAATGCAAACATGAATAAATAAATAAATAGCTGAATCTGCAAACAGTAGTTGCAAGCACAAATATAGAATAGAGCAGATAAGGCATAGGATTGAAATAGATTTGACTACTAAGCTGTTCCATTTCACGCAATATATTCTCTCATGGACAACTTTCCCTGACCTGGTAATCTCTAGATGTCTTGCCTTAACTTAGAATCATTGGCTGTGCTTACGTGAACCCCTCTAAAATACTAATTTCCATAATGACAGCTGAGCTAGCCTCAAACCAACCATTTAGAAAAAAATTAATGGACTGCCATCATTTGTAAATAAAGTTTACATGTCTAATATTTAGGATTAGTCTTTCTAATAAATCCAAACTCTCCCCAGCTATTTCTGTCATGACAAATTTGAGCCTGAATAGCAAAAGACTTCACTCTCCAGATGAGCTACAGGTAATTGGGGCACAATTAAAGATTGATTTTAAAAAAGACATCCCTAATAAATAATGAAGGAAAAGGGGATGTAGGAAAGTGGTTTTAATGTATATTATTGTGGATATAATTCCCCTAAGTATTTAATCACTGGACAAGTAAGCTATAAATGTGCCAATTACCTATACACAGTCTAACATGCAAAAAAAAGGCCAAGCAACATTCTTTGTTGGGCTTAGATATTAAATAGCCCTTGAACAGAGTGTCTGAAGCAGACACTCATAAAATGGAGTGGAGGTCTATAAGATGATTGGTGGGATCAAAAGCCATTCCACCACGAGTCTGCTAAAGAAAGGGACAGATTTGGTTCTCTTCAGAATTTCCAAATTGCACATTTATTAAAGTGGAGATGTTTTAACAGTTGTGTTAAACTGTTAAATATTTCGAAGGCCCTGTTCAGAAAAGGTGAGAGAAAAGTCACAAAAACTTTCATGCACACTTTTTTAATATCTCAAACCTAATGTGGAAGAAAAGACAAAATAAGACTAAGAATGGAGGAGAAGGGGGGAAAATAGAAATTGAGATTAATCAGAATTCACAGTTATCCATTCCCACTGCAGCATCATGTACATATCATAAGCCTATTGCCCAATGTATTTAGTCATTATCAGTACCTGAGGAAGCATTATCAGATAGATGGCATTTTCTACTGTAATTCTTTCTGCCTTCTGAGGCCTCTGGTGGATGGAGGGCTTGGAATGTTACTCCCGGCTTGAAAAGGGCAGAAAAGCAACAAGTCCAAGCATGGTTGCATACATGTGGCATTTTTTACTCACATCGTGGAGATTGTTGCATGTAAAAATGTACAAGTGCCCTGTAAATAACAGTGTAG